AAATTACTGATGGTGTACAAGAAAGAGTTTAAACTATGATTTTCAAAAGTTAAACTCTTTTATGAATTTATGAGATTTACTGGACTATGATTTGTTTAATGTACCTGTGATTTTTAAGGTAATATTGGGACACACTGAGCCTAGCTCACCTTTCAAAAATATTTTTCCCCCTTTCAGATACTGTTGGTTAGATACATCGGTTCGAGCACTTGGAGGATCAACATATCTCTTGAAGTATATATGATTGTAATGTTTTATCTTGCTAGTTGACTTTATTTTGGTGACATGGAACTTATTTTAAAGTATCGTATTTTAGGATGATGACACTTTTGCTATTACTGTTCGGTTATTGTGATTTGATTTTGAAGACCTGTTTTAAATTAATTTATTACTATTGGTATTATATTTACAAGTTGGGTTTTGATGGTATAATTTATTTCATGACATTTATAATGTGATTTTGCATTGATTGAATAACGGTTTCAGAAAATATCTTTAAGAATCATAATGTGATCCACTAGACTTAGTCGAAACGCATAGGCCGGATCTAGATGGTAACATAGCTGCTTTGCATTTAGGCTGCACACCGAGAAGAAGCTCGAGGAGCCAACGAAATTGTAACCTGAGGTGTTACCTTGATCCGGGAACTCGAGAATTCGACAACATTGCTCGAGGAAATGTCACAGTGAACTCACATTGCATGGCTGGTTATTCCGGCTTCATGAAATCAACAACAATGAATTTGATTCATTTTAACGGTGCCCATAACAAGTTTCTTTTTGCATCTGAGAAAGGTTCCCTTCCTAGTAACAATCCATGCTTACCTATAGAGAAGTATCCTCCTAATTTGCTAATTTCTAATACAGTAGCGCCTGCCAAGACTGGTTACATTCATAACCTACTGTTTTCTGATGTGGACTCTTCGAATAAGATGAAACAAACAGATGCAGCAAATGCTGCCAAGAGCCCATATGAATTTGCCTGTGATCTATCGTTGCGATTGGGCCCTCTTTCAACACCTTGCTTTAGTGTTCGAAATGGTCGACCTCTGGAAATAAGAAAAAACGATTCCACCTTTCCAGAGTCAAACAAGTTCAGTGACAAAAGTTTCCCTTCCTTTCTTAGGAGCAAAGGAGATGATCCCTTGAACCCATCCTCAAACGAACAGAGCATTGAAGGTGAACGCTCGAAGGAAGATGCAACAAAGAGGAAGCGAAAGACGATATATGGTCCGGCAGCCGATCAACAATTTCATTTGCCATCGAAGCTTCCGTACAGGCCTAGACTTAAAGACCCTTAACATGGTCTCGGTGAGTATTTGTGCTGCCGAAAGAAAACTCTCTTCCCTTTCCGCAATCTTTTTCGTAGCTAATAGTTTTGTGTTGATGATCAGTGTGTTGAAATGTTTGCAAGAATGTAAGGTGTAAATATTTGAGTGAAGTATCAATTAGATGAGCTAATCCTTTTGACTTACATGCTGGCTGTTGGTGAAACTTGGACCTTGGTGCCTGTAAGACCTCTAATGATTATTCAACCAACCGAACCATTCCATGTCGGCTGTCGGCCGACACTCGTAAACTGCAAAGTGGAAAAGCATAGGAATATATTATATGTAGAACTGTTATTTAGATAACTTAGCCATAGTCTAATTGTTTGATAAGGTCCCTTATTGTAGTTGTGACATACATTATCCATGTGGGGAAAGTGGTTTGTTTTGTCCTTAAAACATATCCATTACAAGATATAATCTCTCACCAGCGGGGACAACTTGTCTGGTTGGTTGGACTTGGATTAAGAAGTAGGGCTAAACCTAATGATTATTAAATGAAAAAATCTAAAGAGAAAAAAATGTATTTGTATGTACGAGTAGGGGACAAAGGTCTTTACAAAATCTAAGAGTCGATATGCTTGAGAGTCTTATGGGGGGAGTGGGGATGGGGGAGCTTTTCTTTGTAACTTTTTTGAACTCCGGGTTTCGATTATGATTATATCCGAGTCTAGTCGAGTTATTTCCATCTACGAGACGAGTCCGGAACCTTGATTGTGGTGGGAGAATATTTAACCTTTTCGATCATGTAATATTGTGTTTAGAAAAGCTCAAAGGAAAGGAGAGACTTTTCAAAGATATGGATGGAGGTTCTTGGAATCACGCTAAAATGATCGAGTGATGTTTGCTCCATCCATGTGAATTTGGCACCTCGAAGCATCTTTTGAAGCTTTTATATGGACAAGGGGGGTTCCCACCTAAGGAAACAAAGAAGGGAGGGGGGGCTTGGGCTTTTATACAAAATTTTCCCACCCTTCGCTTTTCATTAAAGGTACGAGGTAAAAGGGACAAAGTAACTTTTAATTTTGAAGGGGTAAACTCAATAAATTTCACTCTCTTCTCACTGCTAATTTGACCATTAATATTAAAAAAATTAATCTACTCACTAATTCTTTTATTAATATGTGATAGGTATAAGATAATATGTTCAAGAACACTTTTAACCTTTTAACATTGAATGCTCACACGCCTGACCTCTATAGTGTTGGAATTTAGGTTTTCAAAAACAACAACAATTTCTTTACCATATAATACACTTGGTTCATGCTTGATCTACTCTGTTTAAGTAGTTAACAATATTATATGATTAAATTTTCTTAAAATTTCATTTAAAAATAATAAAATGACCTAAACTTTTTTTTTCCCTTAACTTCTTGTGAAAAAAGTTTTCTTCCAATTTCAACAGAGAAAGGTGAAGAAGGAAAGTGAATTTTATATCTTCATTTTATGTTAAATGGTTGAGTTAGTGTAGAGTTTAACAAGTTTTAAAATAATTTAAGTAAAATCTGAATCGACATAGTGATAAGATATAATAAGATAAGTTTATCGATATCGTGTGCTGAAAGAAAGATCAAAAAATAACGATTATAACGTTGGGCTGAATCACGAATGAAACATAACTTTCACGAGAAAGAAGATAAAATTCGAAAAGAAAAGAATAAAGTGAATGACATAAATTTACACGAATTAAGTGATTTTAGTGATCAATAATGTTGTTATCTCTTGAGATTTTCGAGTATCGTAGATATAAATTTTTATTATCAATAACTAAAATTTTCTAAATAAATATTTCTACAACGATGACCTTCCAATAATTGTGTTCCCGATTTTACATTAAATTATTGCCCAATTGGCCTTATTCCTGGCCCATACCGTTCCCCATCCAATCCCTGAAAATATGAATCCAATGATAACATAATAATAATTTGACTAAAAACTAATAATAATAAAACAAGACTCTAATAAACAGTAATTGATATAATATTTTTAATCATGGTATTATATAATATAACAATTTAAATTTAAATTTAAGTCTTAATGAATCGAATGAAAATTAATATTGAAAATATGGGTAAAGTATACAATGGTCATTCAATATAGGATACTACTTTATTAATCTCTCGATTATTAAAGTTATAAAAATAGTCATCTAACTATAGACTCGACTATTAAAAGTTATAAAATGGTCGCTTAACTATTTATTATGTTCTAAACTCGTCATTTTTCATTAAAAATAGATAGAATTTTGAGCTGAATTTTAACCTGTTAACTGTGATATTATAAAATTTGATAATAGAAACTCAAATGATTATCATATCTCAGTCATCATATTGACATCCAGTTTAAAAAACTACCAAATTTTTAATAGTCAAATGACTTAACAAAGCAACATTCTATAGTCAGAGGACCATTTTGTAACTTTTAATAATCGAATAAAAGTAAGACACTAGTATTTATTGTAATTACCGTGGCTTAATTTTTTAAAAAATGGTATTAAATTAATTGGATTTGTAAACCAAAACGTAAAAAGTTGACCACTTTGTTTATCATATTGGAAGAATACCAAAACACCAAGGAAAAAAGATGGGAAGGCAGCTCAGATTTAGGAAAAAACCAGACACTCATACCTGCAAATCCACTTGTTTCTGCAATAAATGAGGTCAAAGCTAACCCCTTCACTCTGTCTCATTGTTCTTCACACTGTTATCCATTAAAACCATCTTCTTCGTAATTTATTGCTCATGTTACTTGACCAACACTTCTCAAAATTTGCATATTTTTCCCACTGATTTCATGGTCAAATAAGAACTGCCCACCAGTTGTCAGTTTGCTCTTGCCTTATCTGATCTTGTCCCTTATCTTTTGATCATTTTGTAGACAAGTTTTTCCATGAATTTGAAGCTATTAGTTCCCTTCAATAACTTGTTTTCCATTCCAAAACCAGAACTTTGTTGAATTTATGGACTAATTAGCTCAATATAGCCTTGTAATCTGCTTCCTTTAGAGCCAATTTTTTGTATTATGAAACCCAGATTTTCTTTCCATATATCTTCCTTGGTTTGGGCTTGATTCTGAATATTCTCATGGAAAGCAAGGGTTGTATTGATTTCCTGCTCTATTCTGCACTTACCCTTGTTTTCTTTGATACCTCTATGGCTAACGATCGGTTCACAGGGTTTTCAAGTTTCTCAGATGAATTGGATCGACAATAATGGTTTGTTCCTCGTGTCAAACAGCTCTGAGTTTGGTTTTGGCTTTGCCACTACTACCTCGGATGTCACACGGTTTTTACTAGTCATCGTGGATATTACGACTACAAAGGTAATTTGGGCAGCTAACAGAGACTTCCCTGTTTCAAATTCAGACATGTATGTATTTCAAAACAATGGCGACGTGTTGTTACAGAAAGGACAAACTGTTGTCTGGACGAAAATACCGTGACCACAAGGTTTTCTGCTATGGTATTGATGGATTCAGGGAATTTGGTCTTGCAAAGGAACGATGGCAAAGTCATTTGGGAGAGCTTTGCTCATCCTTCGGATACTCTTGTTTAGAACCAAGAGTTTAAACAAGGGATGAGGCTTATAAGCAAACGTAGTCCTGGTAACTTGACTTACATCCTTGAAATCAAGCGAGATGACATGGTTCTTTCCGCAGGTTACTCAACCCGCAACTGTATTGGTCGATGGGAAAGGATGCTTGAAGGAACATTGACAAAAATGGTGGGGTAGTGACTCTAGCTTCCATTGATGGGAACTCATAGAAGTTCTTTGATAAAAACAAAGTGTTGCTATGGGAGTTTAGGATATCAGATTCTATTAATGTAAATGTGCGTACCACTTGGATTGATGTGTTAAGAAGTGATGGGTTTATATATTTTTTCAATCTAAATCCGCAGAGTCTTCTTCGACAGGAAAGTTCCCGGTGATCCGTGCAGAACACCCGAAGCTTGTCTGCCTTATTTTGTTCGCTCAGATTCTTTAGCAGATGGTTCAAAAAAAAAAGATTCTTTAGCAGGAAACACCAAGTCTATTGGAGCTTAGTTCGAGCGCTTACAAAACTGGCGTTGCCTCTAGTTGTGGTAATGGAAAGGATTCTGTAGGTCTTGTAGATGCTGGAACCGGGCTCGATTACTTCGCGCTTGGCCACGTTTCTCCTTGGTCGAAAACTGATCTTAATGGCTGCAAAGCATCTTGTCTTAGTAATTGCGACTGTGTGGCTATGTTTTACGACAATAACTCGAGGATTTGTTTCATTTTTGACGACATTGGTAGCTTCCGAAGCTCTAAAAACGAGTCCGATTTGGTTGGTTTTGTTAAGATTTCCGAAATCGGTAGAGGGGATAGAAGAGGGAAAAGAGGCTTCCCATATATTGAGATACTACAAGAGAAGGAAAACATTGCTGGAATCTCCTGGTGAGACTTCAGAAGAGGATACTTTCTTGGAAAGTTTAGCCGGGATGCCTACCCGGTTCACTTATAACGACCTTAGGATCGCTACAAATAACTTCTCGATTAAGCTCGGACAGGGAGGATTCGGTTCTGTGTACCGAGGAACTCTTCCAGATGGAACTCGACTTTTTCGAGTTCGTTAAACCGGCAGCCGTGATTGGAGACAGCACATTTTTGGTCTCGGCACCATCGATGTTCAATGGCGATGATTATCTTTCAGCTGTTCGGCTTTCTGGTCCAAGATAACAATTTCTTAATAGGATAGTTTGGTTAAATTGTTCCAAAGAAATGTACTAATATCGTTCAGAAAATTTTGTAAATACCAACTATTATTCAATACAAAATCAGCCTTCAGAATCAGAATGCTAGACAAGAGTGAAAAACTTTAAAAAGAAGAGGAAACTTTAAGAAATTTTATTTTCCATCATTAGTACCATGGGCGACATGATTTCAGTCGGGAGCCGAAGCCGTTTCTGTTTGCGGAGGTCTGAAAAATTCCGATTACATTAGGCCGACTAGATTCCGGGTGAACACCAAGCTTTGATCATATGGTGTATAGTTATTACCTGATAACCTTTAACTGTCATACCATGCAGCACGCTTGCTTTTTGCATCTTTTAACTGTCATACTATGTAGCACACTTTGCTTGCAGAACACAAGAACTAGTTGCTTTATCCGGTGCTCACACCATTGGCAGTAAGGCTTCGGAAGCCCGGTTCCTTTCGATAACTCGTACTTCAAAATTCTTCAGGTACATAAAACCCGATTCGTAACCATGTGTTTTATGTACCGATTGTTCTCATGTAGCTGGTATGTCAACCATGATTGGCCTTCCTTCGGAGCATGCCGTTGTAGAGGATGATGAATGCTTAAGGTTGGTACTCGACAAACGACTAACGGAGGAGAGCTTATTCGATCGCCGCAGGTGGATCGTGAAAAAATCAGAACTTGTTCTTTAAAGTTTTAAGATTAATGCTCATATCAAACTAGTGGATTGTGGATCAAGGTGGAAGGACATTCAAGTGTTTCTATTAGTGTCTCCTCTCTTTGATTGGATGAGCATGTACTCGAACTCTTTGTTCGAATTTCGAGTCCAGTTGATTTTTAGTTCAATAATTTAATTCTTTTATGATTTAATTCATATTTTTAATTTTTTTTTTGTTTTAAGTTTATTTTTTAATCAAATTTGAACTACATGCTTCTCAAACTTTAATGCTCATATGTTAGAAATTTAACTTAATTTTAACAAGTGTTGCCGTCTTTAAGAAATAACATTATAAATATATTAAATTACTCTAAATGATATTGATTTATTAAATAATGTTATAAATTTTACTTTTTACATGCGCAAAAATACATATATAGTATATGACCAAAGGGAATCGTTGAAATTACAAGCAATTAGTACCCGAACATTAGGTAATCATATTTAAATTTAAATAATATATTTAATTTAAATCAACCAAAATAAATAAATGAAATTTAAACAATAAAAAAATTAGCAAATTTTCCATATAAATAAATGTGAAGGAAAATGGAGTGACAAAGAAAGAAAGCATTGTTCTGTCTGCAATGGTCCCTACATAGGACAGGTTATGATGAGGGACCAAAGTTCTACTGGTTTTTATGTCCTTGAAAAAGACAATGATTTCTCCCACCTTCAATGGGTTTATCATTATCTTAGCTCCATGAACTACAATAAATAATAAATATGTCAATTTTGATTCCTTTATAATAATCTTATTAATGTAAATTTTGTTGTCCATGCATTCTTTAATAATTCTTAAACAAATTAGAGAGAATCCATTACATTATACATGTGTATAATTTCTTTTATGAAAGGGAGGTGCTCACACAAGTCTCGTTAAAAACCTCCCTGAACCTAATCGGAGGAAAAGAGTACTCATGGTAGCATTTACAAGAGTGAACTATGAGCACAAAAACTCACCAAGACAAACAGGAAAACATAAACGAGATTACAAGACTCGACAAAATCTGAAACAAGACCAGGCAGCTTATAACTACATGCAGTAATCATAAGAGGTTCCAGCCTCACTTCTTTTATTTGGTCTGACAACCACTTAAACTTCGGACCGAGTAAGAGCACGGGTTCGATCTTCCCTAAGCATTAGAAGATTTTCAATTGGTGGCTCTTCAAAGCATTTTTCACCTATCGACAGACCACGGGATAGAGCACAAGTTTATCCGCTACCTCATTTCCATCACACCGGACAAAATTACTCCTCACTTCCCAATCACGAGACTAAATCTTTTAAAATGAAAAATAAATGGATCTGATTTTGAAATTTCTAAATAGAAAGACAAAATCTCAAAATTTGACAGGGTACAGTGATCGATATCGTAATTTGACCAGCATGAAAAAAATTCTCTAACACCAATGGACGTGATTACGTCAGCCAAGCAATTGGATGACAGCAGCAGCATGTAAGAAAAAGTAAAAAGAAATCGACTAAACTATTTATTTTTTAAAAATGATATCGAATAATATATTTATTAATATTAGTTGAATGTATTTACCTACCTTGGTAGTTGTCAATGGTTACTGAGAATGACAAGCGAAAAGGTAAGGTAAATATTGCAATTATTCCGAATAAGAATTTTCTATAATTACTTATTTTCAAGGTTGACAAAAAAACTAAACCACAGTCTTTATGCCCCCAACTTGGCTTATATTGAATTATTATAAAATAATAATAATTAAATTTATTATTATTTTATATAATTTCTCAATACAACTTAACTTTTATTTAAATCTTCTTACATTAAAAATGTTCAATTAGTAGGTAAAGAGCATCGTTTTCTTTGTTTTGTTGAGCCCTTAGCTTCCACGTAATAACCTATACCTAAAATAGTATATGACAATGAAGATTAATTTGTAGAAGAATATTTAGCTTTAAAATTACCATAAAAATAAATAAAGATAAATTACATCTTATGTAGGGATGGGCATGGGACTCGGACCTGACGGGTTCCAACCCGACCCGACCCGATCGGGTCAGATTTTTTTTTTTTTAAATATGGTTGGATCGGGTCGATTTTTTTAAATGTGATGATTGGATCGGATCGAGTTCGAGTTTATGGTGAAAAATACGATACCCGAAATTTTTTTACCTTATATATTTTGAAATAATTACAATAATACCCTTCTATATATCATTTTTTCAATTAATTCACTGTTTTTATTGAATAAAAAAAATAATATTTTATTATTATTTCAGGTCAGGTCCGGTTCGGATTTTATCTAAAAAATTCGGTTCGGGTTCTAGTCAGGTGGATGGTATATATTTTTCGGGTCGACTCAGATGAAAGATGTAAAATTTTTGGGTTTGATCGGGTTGGTCGAAACCCGACCCATGTCCATCCCTAATCTAATATCACTCGATTATTAATAAAATTGTAAATAGTTTATATTTCAAAAAAAAAAACGGATCATGCAATTATTTAATTGTTACAAACGTGTCACTTTATCATAAAGTGTGTAAATGTAACGAACATTAACTTTTAGATTACAGACGAGTAACTCGATTGTAACAATCTATAGATTGTGTGAATTGATTATTATAATTGGTAAACAGAGTGTCAAGATGTAACTAAAAAGTTAATATTTGCTTATTTTTAACAATGGAGTGATATATTTATAACAATCGATTAATTGAATGATTAATTTATAATTTTTTTAGTGACTCATTTGTAAAAATTACTAATAATTGAGCTATCGGTGTATTTTACCCCATAAATAATTGGACTAAAAAGCAACAAGATTAGGATTTAGGGACTGTTTGTTTACTTCATAATGATTAAGCGCTGAATTATTCAAATGCTGAATGATTCAGAGGCTCTGTATGAATTAGCTCTGAATGTGACATGTTGTTTGATAATGACTCTGAATCATTCATAATGTACTATTTTGTTGAATCATTCAGCACTGTTTTGTTGAATCATTCAACACTGAATCATTCAGAGGTGAGAAACAAACGCGTTAAATGCTGAACTGTTCAGTATTCAGCGCTGAATGATTCCATTCAGTGTTGAATAATTCATTCAGAGTCAAACAAACAACCCTCGGGAAAGATACATAGAGGACAAGATTGATTTATGTGGACTGTCCAGCGAAAATAACTTGGAAACTTCCATATAAATAATTACAAATAAATGTCATGAATAAATTACTTATAAGTAGTTAAACTTGAAAGGAAAAAAAGATTGTTATTAATTAATTGCGTTAAAGTCTTTGCCCATGCAGCTTTACGTATTGTAACCCTTAGACGGTTGAATTCAGTTAAATCAGAATACGATTTACATACGTAATTTAAGGTTTATTTTTAGATTATGTTTAATATTTATTCTTAATTTAATTAAATTTGAA